CCCAAAGTCCACCTTCAGCATTCCCTGAGGACCTTGCTGCTCCATTCCCTTGCTGTTCCGCTGCACTCCTCCTGTGGGCAGTGTTTCATTTCTTTGTGCATGAGGGTGACATGAGGCTAGGCCAACTTGAGAGTAGCTAATAACTTTTCTTAAATTCAGTTGTAATAAGGTTTGCTATTTGATTATAGTATTCTCCATTGTATCATATGCATGTGAAAAGTGGACACTGAATAAGGAATATGGTAGAGGAGTCGATGCATTGGAATTGTGGTGCTGGAGAAGAATATTGAAAGTACTGTGGACTGTCCGAAGAACAAAGAGATCTGTCTTGGAAGGAATACAACCAGAATTCTCCTTAGAGGCAAAGATGGCAAGATTTTTTCTTACATACTTTGGACATATTGTCAGGAGAAACCAGTCCCTTGAGAAGGACTCATGTTTGGTAAAGTGGCAAAAAAGAGGAAGGTCTTCAATGGTATGGATTGACCCGGTGGCTACATCCATGGGCTCAGGCATAGGAACAATTGTGAGGAGGACAAGGACTGGGTAGTGTTTTGTTTCGTGGGTCAGAGCCAACTCAGTAGCAGTTACAAACTACAAGATTTGATTACATGTGATACCATTCCTCTTGAACGAATCATTCTTGGCACACTAAGCCATATGACTGTCTGATTTGAAATGACCTATACCAATCCATTTACTTCCTTATGTGTTCCATTTCATTTTGGATGACTTGCAATTTTCCTAAGTTCACACTTCATAATTCCATATTCCAATTATTAATATATATTTGTAGCTATTCTCATTTTGAGCCACGCCTCTCAGAAAATGAAGGTTTTGAGGGCTTCACATAAATCATGTCTTTTGAGCGCCTTCCACCTGAGGGGCTCATATTCCTTCTTGCTATTTGTAAATTTTTCCAGGGCTAATTCCTCAGAAGTAAACACTCTATTCATTCTTCCTAGTTTGGTCTTAATCTGGAAGTCCCACTGGACCTGTTAAGCTAGGGTGACACTGTTGGTACTGAAAATATCAGTGACAAAGCTTGAAGCATCACAGCAACTCACAAGTTGCCACGATGCAAAAAACTAGCAGACAAATGTTGCTGTTGAAATTATACTAGCTCAAGGAACTGGAAGAAATGATG